CGCTCCGTAACGAAGTCGTGAAACCTTTCTCGTCCTTCCTGCCACAACTGATCAAGCTGTACCTGGAGGCGCGGGTCGTGCACGTGCGGCGGGACCCCGGGCGGTGATGGGACAGCATCCGCGCCCCGGGGGTTCGGGATCCTGCTCGCGCCCGTCCCGGGCTGGCGCCACCTCGCGACCTTCGCCGCCGTCTACAGCCGCTCGGCGCTGCGCCTCGCCAGCCTGGACCCGGACGAGGCGACGCCCAAGGATCTCATTACGCGGGGGGGAGGGGAGGTCCGCGTAAGTTGTCCCCTTTCCCTCTTTTCCTTCTCCTCCTTCCTCCCCCTTGAAGGCGATAATTCCAGACAGACAGACTACTGCACGTTTACATCGAAAAGCCCAAAAAGAAAAAAAAAAGGTCCACGGCTCAAACCGATCCTTACTTGATTAGACATCTTAGAGGCCCACACCACACCCGGCTGAGATCGCTCGTGCCGGTAGGGCAAGCTGCTGGAGAATAGGATCTGAAGGACGGCTAAAGGGGGGGGGGGGGGGGGGGGGGGGGGGGGGCTGTGTCGAATTCCTGGATGTGCCCGTGCCCGTGCCCGACGAGCCGCCGTTCCCACGCGCGCGAACGATGCCAAGGAGTCGGCGGATGAGTATGTATGTATGTATGCCACCAAGGTTATGTACCTAGGTATGTATATGCTCAAGGCTCTGGGCGTCTGGGGTGGCATCTTGATCATGTCCGTCGCTTGTCGCCGTCGCGTATGTATTATTATCCCGCTAGACTAGTCCAGCTAGGTACTCTGTGGGAGGAGTGATGCGTCACCGGCTCTGAACCCTCTGGGAACTCTTCAGAGCGGCACTGCATTATCAGACTCACGTCCGAAAATCAACCAATGGATCTATCATATAACACAACAACGTTTATGCGATTTAGGTATCTATCTATTTACGTAATTCGACGCGATGGGGTGGAAGACGTAAATAGGGGTTACGTAATGCGAGGGTGGTGTGACCAAGGAATGCTATGCGCCGGTGTGGGTTGACGCGTGGGTCTGGTACACCTCATATCACCATACCCATACCATCAGCCCACTCCTTCTTCCACAGCCAGAAAAATCCGAGTGCGTAGTGTAACGGCTGGCCGGGTGCACGATAAGTACCGCAAATGCCGAGCGGCGTGACCCAACCTTGCCATACGAACGAGTGCATACCGACGTAAGACTTATGGAGAAGAACCGTGCCCGCCGAGTCTGTCACGTTCACCTGACCTCGCAGAGAGAAAGCACCTAAGCCATCATAGCAATCGGTTGCCTCGATGCTGTAGTTACTTCCATCGACGTCGGTCTTCTGGAACCGGATCCGTTCCATGGGCGGATCGATTCGGCCCCTAGGGCTCAGTCCATAAGTATAGCATCCGGCCCACTGTCCCTCATCAAGTCTGTTGGCCAGGTCGCGGACACGCATTGAGTACCACGCGAGCCAGTCATCGCCAGCGAAGGGGTAGAAGTATCGCCCTTTGTCGCTGACGTTGCCGTGGATGGTGGCTAGGCTAGGAGTCAGGAGCGGGAACCGCACCCGCCGAGTTCCGTCAGTTGACGACGGCCTGTCTGTCTCTTCCTGATGCTCAATTTCCTCGGGTTCGTCGTAGTACCAGGATGGGATGTAGGCAATCTTCTTTGGATCAGGTAGCCGTGGTCTCTCCCGGGGTGGCGCCGGCGGCTGCGCAATCCCGAATACGCGAGACAACACACCAGAAGAATATCTGCGCTGAGGGTCGTCCCGTATATGTCTCGCAATGATGACTAGAAGTAAAGCTGCATGCGTTTGGCGACTGATCCAGGAATCTTTGAACTCCCTATATCCGGGGCCGAGACCCTCTCCCTCAAATGCTGCTTTCACAATCGTAAATAGGGAGCCAGTATCAGGCCCAAAGGGCAGAATAGAGTTGTTGGAACCGTCTTCGCTTCCACCTGGCCAGCTACTATCCTTGGAAAGGCTACTCAAGGCTAGACAGAAGGCGAATTGTAAGGGACCTTTCCCTCCCAGAGAGCGATCGATCCTAAGGTACTGCATTGCAGGTCTTTCCGAGAAGAAGATGGGGCATAGACTCTCCAGGGTGGCGGCGATGCTAGTACTGCAGATTCTCGCATCTAGATACATGGTGCATCAGTAACAGCGGTGCACGTAGTGGCGCAGGCATACTCACAGCCCCAAACTGGTAAAGTGGCCAGAAACCCTATGACACCCTGAAGTGCCTCTTTGGTATCTTGACCTAGTTGCTGCGACTCGAATGTCGCATGAACTTTTACGCTTGATGCGAGGCGGTCCAGCTCGCAAGCGGCCATAGAGATGCGGTCCATGGCCACAGCGAGACATAGCCAGACCCGGGCCGAGCTTTCACCGTCGCGTTCAGGGGGATCTTGGGGGCCGTCGATGAGAGGCCGCATAAATCGCAACAAGGCTTGGCTATCTTGGAAGGCTGCCGAAGTGAGTTGTGGCAGCTATGCAAGGGGATTAGTACCATGGAAAGCGGCTTGCACTCATCCGGAAACTACATTCGTCATTTGAATTGGGATGACGGAGGGTGGGCTTCGGGGGGGGGGGGCCTACATGTGACTCCAACGAGCTCTGGAAGACGGTGGCTTCGTCGCATGCGACATGGAGAGAACGGCATGTTCGACTGAGAGACAGAATGTCGACGGCCGAGCATTTCCCCGCGATGAGCTGAAAGATTTCGAGAGGGAGATCGGTCAGACCAGTCATCGCGGCGGACGACGGCTACCGGAGTAATGATGCGCGCAATGGATGGTAGGGGGTGAGAGGGGAAAGCGACAAGTGCAGAGTTAGGTAGAAGAGGAAGCTTCTGAGGCTAAGATGACGAGGGTATCACGAGTCGCGCCGGTCTCAGACATCCATCCAGATGCAGAGGCTACGAAGATGGAGTTTGGCGCATGGTATGTTGGTTTTTTTTTTCTTTTTAGCGATTCAAGGTTCCAAGGTTGTTTACAGAGGCGGTATGTAGAGGCGATATGGGATATGTAGTATGGGATACGATATGACGATGCGGACAGGATGTGTGTCTTCCAAGGTTGGGTTTGTAGGTAGGCGGCTGGTAAGTATTGAGTTGGATTAAAATAAGAACAGAACATCCAATGTCAGCTTGTGTCGCCTGCCAACGTCACTCATGCAACGTTTGCGATGGTCTATTCCTCATAGGGGGGTAAACTTTGGCGATCATCGCCTCCGGGGCTATTTTGCCAGGTGAAAGGACCCTGAACAGTTGGCTTTTCCAAGGCTCACAGCTGCCGCTCCTCCCGAGTCCCTGCATCTCAGATTTTCAGGGTCCAACTTCTGGGTTTAGCGCCGTACGGTGCTGGGTGCCTACCTAGGTAAGTACCTAAGTACCTAGGTACCTAGGTACCCAGTAGTGTCCCCGTCGCGCTTGTAAGTCTAGGTCGGCTCTCTGCACCTGATTCGATCCCGATTCCCGGCTCCAGAATTACCTTTGGCGCTTCCGATTGAGTTGGACCAGCAACAGCAATCGCCTAGCTCTGTATCTCGATGGAGCTGGGAAAATGCCAGCGTTATGGAGTTCCAAGGTTGAGACACGCAGGGTTCGTCTGATGAGTCGCATGCATCCCCCCGCAATAATACAGCACGTGTTAACCTGCCATACATGGAGTGATTATTTCCAAGATCACTACTGGTTGGCGTCAATAAACATCACTACCAATCTGCGGAATACTCGGGAACCCCATCGATAGGAGGATTTCATATTCCAGCGCACTGGTGTTTTTGGTTGGGCTCAGATCATTGAACTCCAAGGTCGTGAAAAATGACTAGGTCTTGTTGCGTACTACTAACTCTCTTCCCTCCTGGTGCAAAGGCCATTCCGTCATTTATAGAGAACAGGGCCTCTCGTAAATGCGCTTGAGCATGGGTCTGGGTCTTTTGCCCCCATCCTATATGGACGTATATAGATCTGAAGAATCCCTTACGAACTGGCGCTTCGATGAACAGGCATACGCCATGGGCTGACGTGACAATAAACTTGAGACCACAGCAACCATAGAACATACAGGTAACACTCATCAGGCTAGACTACTAGACTCGTCTGCCATGACCTTTATAGCACACCGCATTCTTTCCAAATTCGTGTGCCATGCGAGTAAAAGCATTTCTTTTTAAGATACTTCTTCCCCCAAAGCTTACACGTCAACCATTCGCAGAGGTGGTAGAGTGGGAAGCGCCAACTGGAACAGGCCATCACGCTCTATCCAAAGGACTACGCATGGGTACAGTTTGACGTGTTGAGGATTTGCCCACAACCCGTATTCTTTGAGTAGCCTGGCCGCCAAGACCACGAAGGAGACGGGGCGGTCCAGGACCGTTCTCGCAAACTTGAGACCGAATCAGGTGCCTGCCATGATGCAGAGGGTGGACGAGTTTATTGTATGTGCCGGGCTGGGTAAGGGCGAGATCCGTGGGCAGGCTGGTCGAGTTTCGAAAATGCAAATGGGGAGGCGAAATCCGAGCACAGGATACATACCTAGGTATGGAGAAGGTAATTAGTCAAAATATTTGGGCGTTTTTTTTTTTTTTTTTTTCTTTTTTTTTTTTGTTCAGGATGATCATCGAACTGATTGAACGGATACTTGAGTTGCAGGACTTGTAGGATATTATAAAATTTCGTGTGAAACTTGAAGAAAATTTGTAGCCCAAAACATATCACTAGGTTCCTGCTCAAACTTGGTCAATCTGTCTGAAATGAACTTTCTTGTGTAAGAGAGAGGTGATACCGAAACATACCCAGAAAATACCAAACTCAGAGATCGCGGAAGGGGGTTCTCAGCACACAGCCAGGAGAAAGAGGAGGAATAATAACCTTGGAAGGGAAGGAGTCGTTGTTTAGGTGGTTTGTGATGTGTGTGTGTGTGTGTGTGTGTTTGGGGGGGGGGGGGTTGGGGTTGTTCGGCGTGGGGCAAAAAAGGGGACAAAAAAAGAATTATTAGACCCGCCAGGATTCGAACCTAGCCCTCTCCAACATCAGCACCATTATCATTACTCCCATATCCAATCCCAATTCCTAGCTCTTTTTGGATGTTGGAGCGTGCAACCAACTACACCGCGGGCCTTTGTTGCTAGGCTGTTGCTAGGCTGTCGGCATAACCGACAATAAGTACATCGGCGACGTTGAGCCAACTGCCAGGTTCTGCCGGACTGTCAAAGAGATGACCATTTGAGGATGTGAATTCTTGTTCACTGTTGGAACGAGAATTCATAAGATAAGCAAGACCCTAGATCCTCTGTGCAGGTATCCCCCATTTCTCTGTTCTTGATTTTCCTTTTCTCCCTCTTCTCTTTTCCCTTTCTCCCCTTTCCGTCTCTTTTCCTTCTCTTTTCCTCTCCCCTTTCCACCTTTTGTTGCGATCTCCTACTTGTAAGCCATAGAGTCTTTCAAGTCAAGTCATTTCCCGGTTGACTCAAATGGTTTGTTATTACGATTGAAGTGGACCTTGAAAAGACCCGGCCACCTGGACAACTGCATTCGGATAGAAAATGTCGACTACCAGCTTAGACACCATACCTACATATATAGGTAGCCAGCTCGTATGACAAGTTGTTTAGAGAAGAAGTGTGGTCCATTTCATACTTCTCCATCGCAGAAGACCCGGCCATGATTGCAAACTTGGTGATTACCTGATGTATCCACCTCGCCGTTTTATTGCCTTCCTTATTATCTAGGTTAGCACCAAACAGTAATTCGCATGCGCACTATAATGATACATCACTTTAATCCTAGAAGTAACGCGATCCAAAAAATTATACATAATCCTCAGCAAAAGAAATAATCTGGCCTCCTCCATAGAAAAACACATAAGACGTATTCCGCAAGGAAACTTGAAGGGAGAACATGCCAGAGCCCAGAAGCCGACCCTCCTTCTTCCATATCTCGACAACAGCCAGAAATCTCCCTAGCACCTCTCCCAAGCGGTCCTGCTCTAGATCGGGGACGCCGATAGTGGTCAATAGGGAGACCACTTCCTTCTCAGGGCCCTTGGCCTCTCCCCCTAGCTCTCGCAGGCACGTCGTAGGCTGTGCGGTAAGCGAGTTGTCGTCCTTTTCGGTGTGCACAGCGATCACGACGTCAGAGATGACAAATCTCCCCTCATCTGCTTTCCCAGGAACATCATCCTTTTCTGCGAGGTAGAAGACGCGCGTGTCCTCCTCGGCGATGCTCTCTGTCCCGGCCTTCTTGTGGCCAGGGGGAAATCGTGGGAGAGGACCGGACTCGGAAATCTCGAAGACGTTTTCGCGCCGCCCGAGCCCATTCGAGTATCTAATACTCGTAAGGTACATTGCCAGCTTTTCGCGCTCCCAGAGCAGCTCACGCGCGCGCTCGTAATCGCCTTCCGCGAGCGCTTCCTCGAAGAGCACGTTGCACTCGGCCAGATAATTGTCGAAAGCCTGGCCCGAAAGCTCTTCGATGGCAAGGAATTTCCGTTGGACATAGATGGGGTAGCCCATAACTATGGCCATGGTAAGGAGGGAGCCAATGATGGCGCCAATGGTCACATCTTTGATTCTGGCGCCACGAGTGCGCGGTGGTGGACCTGGTATAGGATACGGGTTTTGGGGTGGAGTATAGTTCGAATAGTTTCTGCGAGAGTAGAGGCTATCCCTGGGTGATTGTGGGCCACGTTGGTGGTAGTGAATTGGGCGTTGCGTCTGACGAACATGCTGCCCGAAGGTTGATCTCGGTGCTCCGAAATTAATGGGCCTACTCAGAATCCGAAAGGACCGAAAGACAATGGCGCGCATCATAATGGCTCCCGTTACCGGTTGGATTGACACTCTTGCTTGCGTTTCGAATGACTGGAAATCTTTCCCCAAATTCTGAGATTGGGGGTTTGTGCAGCTTCTTGTTCAATGAGAAGATCCATGACGTGAGGTCTCAAATCAACAGCGGGTTGTTCCGTCTGTCCAGAGCCTTACTTAACATCCTCCCTGTCGGCATTTGGTGCCACCTGGCTTGACACCCATGGCACTGGCGCTAATATCTTGCAAGAATCCCGACTGGCTGGTTCTTTAAAGCCAAGCCGTAGTTAATAAACACTTTTAAATATCGCACTCTTCAAATATACAATATAATATCATATATTTTTCTTTTCTTTTTCTATTTCTTAATTTTCACTTTCTTCGATTCTTTAATAAAATAAGATATTTATAATAAAGGTGTCAATATTAATGTGGCTTGGTGGCCATGGAAACCATCTGTGCCTCTTGTGGCGATAGGGGCCATATGTGCCTTCTGTGACCACAAGAATCATCAGTGGCGAAGGGAGCATTCTATGCCTTCTGTGGTGATGGGGGCCATCTGGGGCTATGGCAGCCATTTCTAAGGATAGGAGCCAGATGTAAAGCCCGTGCGAACTTTCTCACAGATGGAAGGCCTTCCTATCCCTGTACTTACCTTTCACATCTACATGTAGGCGGATACCTATGACTACTACCGGTCAGACCAAATTGCCAGGACGAAGTACACTTATTCGGCGATGATTCGCTCCCCGGTAGGTGACTAACCTACACTTTTAGGATCGACATAACATGCGCTATGCGTGTACGGCACGGATGTGGAGAATCCTAAGGCAGCAACTGGGCTATGCAGACGCTCTACCCCGTATTACTCACAAGGCCTCTCTGTCTGAAGCTTCAATTTTCGTACGAGACCCCTTTCGTATATAACATAGGGATTCTGCCTAGGGGAACTACTAGGTTTTAAGGAAAATCTCAAGCTCTCCTCTTCATTCGAAAAGCTCATCCTCCAACCAATCTCTGATCTCTCCCATCTTGACATCTTCATCTTTCCCTCTCCCGGCCACCCATACCATCCTAGTTCAACATGACGGCCAACGACAATCAAGCTGGTACCACTACGGCCAGCATATCCAAAGCGACTATGGAGATCAAACCAACCCCAGGTTCAGTCAGTTCTGTCATGAATCTGTACCGGTCAAAAAAGGACGATGACGGGAATTACACCTGGGTCGACAAGTACCCTGAAGATGCTGAAGATGCCGCAGAGAACGAGGAGACCCTCAAATACGCTTTCATCGTGCGCAACAAGAAAAGTACCGACAGCCGCAAGAAGCTCGAGGCCGACTCTATCGTCATCCAGAGCCCCTGGTTGAAGACGGCGCTGGCTGATATCCTTAAAGATTACCCAGGAGTTGCCTGTGAGCTGAACCGACTCGTCTTTGAAGCTCCTTTTGCCCCCTTCGTTCACCGATGGGTCGAGTTCTCGGCCTACCAGAAGCAAAGAGACCTTGATGCAACCACGGCCCAGCACCTTGCCCTTCTCCGTGAGACGCTGAACTATGAGATCGGGGATAGCATTGCTGCATTCCAGGACTACGTCTTGAACGGCGTAATCACATATGAGCATTTGTGGATGATCTTTCAGCCAGGTGCGGTCGCGCTCTCGGCTCACCGTGGACCTATGTCCGCCTTTGAGCTTCACTCCACCGAATACATGGAGACACAGGGCTGTGGGAGATTCTTACGACTGAACGCCGACTGCGTAGACTACGATGGTAAGACCTTTGGTCGATGTACTGAGCGTATCAACGTCTCGGAGTTTGTCGGGACGAAGAAGATCACCGAACTGAGCGCCTTCCCCTTATCCTTCTATGAGGACAAGGGCGCCATTTGTTCTCTGCTTACGAAACGCGGCGAGGCCTTTGAAAGGCTTGCCGGTCATCACTACAAGTTGTGAGTAGCTCCGTAACCCCGTGACACTATTCTTCGCTGACAATCATTAGCTACGAAGGGAACGCCATCACATGGGACCGTGAAGGAAACGAAGTCCCAATCTGGATCACGGGACGAATCGTTGTCGATATCACCTCATTCAACCGTTTCAGCCCCTACAGTTGCCGAAGCATCAGTGACTGGACCACGCAGGATACCGAGCGCTTCAAGGCTCACGATCTCCCTTCCCGCGGAAGCGCTGTCCTGACACCTTACCACCGAATGCTCGCTAGATCAAGGACGCGAGGGTACTCGCTGAAGCTGAAGCAATGGCTGGACTTCTATGTCGACCAGATCGGCGAGATCACCTGGAACACGGATGCATTTGACAGGCTCGTTCTACCCGCCGACCAGAAAGAGTTAGTCATGGCGTTCTCCGAGTCGCAGCTCCAGGGCTCGGCTTTCGACGACGTGATCTCCGGGAAAGGCAAGGGGGTCATCTGCCTACTCTCCGGGCCCCCCGGTGTAGGCAAGACACTCACGGCGGAGGCCGTGGCCGAGAGCCTCAAGGTCCCTCTGCACACGCTCAGCTCGGGCGACCTCGGCTCCGACTCGTGGGAGGTGGAGCAAGGACTCACCAAGATCCTCGACCTGGTGTCCCGGTGGAACGCCATCCTGCTGCTCGACGAGTGCGACGTGTTCCTCGAGGCGAGGGCGACGCACGACCTGGAGCGGAACAAGGTGGTGTCCATCTTCCTGCGCACGCTCGAGTACTACGAGGGCATCATGTTCATGACGACCAACCGCGTCGAGAACATGGACGCCGCCTTCCAGTCGCGCATCCACGTCTCCATCCACTACCCGGACCTGTCGCGGGACAGCCGCCGCATCATCTGGACCGGCATCCTCGCCTCCCCCGCCACGGACCAGGTCGTCTCGGAGGCCGAGGTCGAGGACCTGTCCCGGCTGGATCTCAACGGTCGCCAGATCAAGAACATCATCAAGACCGCGCAGCTCCTGGCTTCGCGCAAGAAGACCCCGCTGAGGAAGGAGTTCATCGATACGGTCCTCGCGATCGACAAACGGCGACCGGGCATGCACTCTTAATTTGATTTCCGCTGTTTTTTTTTTCGCCACGAAACCCACGGCGCTCACGGTTATGATGCGCTTAGATCAAGAGCTCGGCTATTTGGGATTTGATTTGCCAGTATTTAGATGCAATATACTAAGGTAGCCTTTTAGAATTGGATTGACAGCAATTCCCGTAGCGATGTTGAAGTGACTTCAGTTCCATTCTTCAAATGATTCCATCGGCTATTGTCCTCAAGTTTTCTGCCCACTTTTCTTTTACCGCCGGATGGTCTAATGGCCCCCCAACACCTCC